CCCACCTTGTTCTAGCATCTTTAGAGTTTCCCTGGCCTTTGCTCAGGACAGCAGAAATCTAGGTTGCTACCTGTAAAGCCTCAGATAGGTTGACTCTGTCTGCTGTGCTTCTACCTAGTCAGAATAAATTGAAATCTCTGTCTGATGCTTCAATCCTCTTTTCACAGATTTCTTGATTGCAAGTTGAAGCAAAGAGGTAATATGTTTCTCGCTACAGCTAAATACGACTGGAGATGGGGGTACCACGTATCTTGCAAAGTCTGTTGGATGGCTACAGTGCACACAACTGATTAAGTGCTGATATACAAGTAAGACAGACATAACCTAGCTACGCATGCAGACTGTGCCCCGCTTATTCCCCTCTCCAATATGATTTGCAAGACACCTGCAGCAAAGGCTTCAGAAAAGGATTGTCTGTCTACCACTTCTTAGACCACCACAGTGCAGAAAACCTCACACTGTAGTGCAGAAAATCTGGTTATTCCTAGCACATCCTGATGTTGAAAGCCTCAGGATGAAGATGAATCTGAAGAGGGTGTTTGCTGCCTTGGTGAGTTTTTCCACCAGGTAAATGAGCCCATCCAGCTTATGCACGGCTGCCCGAGTGCTCTTGCTGACATGAGGGATGGGGTAGGTGGAGGAGTGATCATCCTTTCCAGCACGCTGGCCGGAGCCCATTGTGGAGTCTCAAGCATGTCTGCACATGCCTTTTGGGGAACATTTAAGGGGTCCAGTCCAAAAACTGAGGCACCAGGAAAATGGAAATGACCAGCTGGTTAGAGGATGCCATTATCACCTGAACTGCAGTTAGGTACTAGAAATGGCAGATAGATGCTTAAGTCCTTTTGAGGATCAGGGTGTCTGTGCATAATGTAATTATCTGAATGTCTGAAGTACAGCTTCTTTGCTCCTCTTTTAATAAAAGAGGAAATTTAAATGCAAAACTTCTGTTAAGGCACATTAAGCTTTAAGACTTGAATACAACAATCAGCTCATTCAGGCTATACTTTCCACAGCTTTTCTCACTTAGCCAGATGACACATGCATGCTGTGTTTTAGAACTGAGCTCTGCCCTCATTTACACCAGGAACCCTCATTAAATTCAGCTGAATTCATTGAATTTAACAGGATTGCCTGGTGTAATTAATGTTTTGAGGACAAATTTTGTCCTTAGCTTTAATGCTTTAACACCATATACTGCATTCAGACGTGTAACTGGCTGAATATAGGAAATTCAAACACTTCACTGGTATATATGTTAAGTCCAAACCATAAAGTGACATTGACATTCTTTCGTGCATTTTACAAACAGTTAATAATTTGCATACATCCAGCAGTGATAATATGCCTTTGCATTTAAATTTTAATTATTCTGCAAGTCTACCAGGATGTCACTTGTTTAATGGCTCACTGAGCTTAGAGGTCACTCAGTCCAAGTCTCCTCTACTGGCATTTTTATCTGAGTAAAAGCTTCTACTAATAAGAACACCACAAACATACTGAAGTGAGACCTATGGAGTAATACATATGAATTAGAATTTAGAGAAACTTCAAGAGCAAGGGATTATGTTTTCAGAGTGTTTCTTTTTTAATGGTTATTTGACTCTGACTGGGATAATAGATTTTTATTCTCTGCCGATCAGAATATCCGCTGTCATTTACATGTGCACTGAGACTAAGGCACTACTGAATCAAAAAAGGAAACATTTTACTCCTTGATTGTAGAGGCAAAAGAGGCTTCAGCATGCTGGATGATGGTGGATCATGCTACTTTCACTTAGAATTGGAAAAGGCAAATCAAGCTTCCTGAAAGTGCAGATGATAGTATAACAATCTAACATGACAGCTGGCCTTAAGCTAAATGCACAGGATCTCTGTTATCACAGAATCAGAGAACGGTTTGGGTTGGAAGGGACCTTAAAGATCATCTAGTTCCAACCCCCCTGCCATCAGCAGGGACACCTTCCACTAGACCAGGTTGCTCAAAGCCTCATCCAGCCTGGCCTTGAACACTTCCATGCAGGGGGCATCCACAGCTTCTCTGGGAAACCTGCTCCAGTGTCTGACCACCCTCATCATAAAGATTTCTTCCTAATAGCTAAACTAAATCTACTCTCTTCCAGTTTCAAACCATTACCCCTTGTCCTGCCACTACATATCCTGGTAAATTGTTCAGTGCTCTCAAAGTCTTTGAGAACAATGGTGGTTAGGTACCAGGATTTCTGTCTATCTCCAAGAAACCCCATGCCCAAGAAAAGTGACGTATGCTGGAGAAAACATACTACTAAAATTACTTATAATGTGTACAGTGAGTAACATACTGGAACAGATTAATAGTTGTGACAAACTGAAAAATGCACTGATTTCAACTCAGCTATGACAATGTAAACTGAAAATTTGTCCAGTTACTGTTAAACCTTGTCTACCATCATAGCAATATTTAAAACAAATGCAAAACCTCATAAAAAGTAATGGAAAAGTAACTGCTTTTATTTCACTGTATTTTAATACTCACTAATGATACAGAAATGGTGTTTAAAACCTCACTGAAGCAGGTGCTGCTGAATCTTTCGAGTTTAGCAGTGGGTACCTTAGGGCCAGTCTACCCAGGTGCTGCACAAGTTTAATTCAGATCCAGCTGTGGAACCTAGAGGCCAAAGCAGAAATGGAAATACCAGAACTGATTTTTGTCAGTTGATTGGTACATAACGAGCCATTCAGTAAAACACATATATCCTGCAAAAATGGAACAAATTCTCTCCCTGTATGAGAAGAGCTGTAGGCTTACATCTTGTGAGGTGACTGGTGATTTTTAAGCATCCTAATTTTTCTGCATGTCCAGCTTGCAGTTTTCAAACAGCCTGGTTTTTAAGGACAACTGGCCCCTGTACAGTATCTCCAGTTGGACAAGCATAAAAATGAGTTATTAGTTACTTAAATATACAAGTGGGAGTATTTAAAGATGGTGAGAATTAATTGATGGATGTGGTATAAAAGATGTAAGTTACAGAATTGTGCTATGGCAATGATTTCTGACAAGATGCTATTCCAATGGCTGAACATTAAATCTCAAAACAACAACAAAAACCCCTCTAATAAACAGATGTATATAATGTATTCATGCACAAGGAATGGGAGTATGCATATTCAGTCTTTACAATACAGATTGTATTGGGTCTGGCTGAGATGGAGTTAATTTACCCCACAGCAACTCTCAGAGTGCTGTGTTTTGTATTAGTAGCTAGAAAGGTGCTGATAACACACCAGTGTTTTGGTTACTGCTCAGCAGTGCTCCACAGCATCAAGGCTGGCTCTCCAACATACCCCCATCCCATAGGCTGGGGTGGGGAAGATCTTGGGGGCAGACACAGCCAAGACAGCTGATCCAAACTGACCAAAGGGATATTCCATGCCGTATGATGTCTGCTCAGAAATACAAGCTAAAAGAAAGGAGGAGGAAGGGGGACATTTATTTATGATGTTTGTCTTCCAGAGCAACTGCTACGCATATTGAAGTCTTGCCTTCAGGAAGTGGCTGGACATCGCCTGATGATGGGAAGTAGAGAATATTTTGTTTTCCTTTGCTTCTGTGTGTGGCCTTTGATTTTGCTTTTATTAAACTGCCTTTATCTTGACCCATGAATTTTTGTCCATCTTATATTCTCCCCCCTCGTCCTGCAGAGAAGGGGAGTGATAGAGTAGCTTGGTGGGCATGTGGCATCCAGCCAAGGTCAAGCCACCACAGAGACAAAGGGAGAAATGTGGGCAGAAATGTGAAATACAGTGATAACCACAGTTGTACTGTGATTACAAAAAATCTGTGTTCTGAGGAATGCCAAAATCACTGTATGGTGGTACTGTCTCATCAATGATAACTGCCTTCTGTCCTGCTCTGCATCTACTCTGCATGGTCTCACCCTTAAGATACCTTTGCCTCAGTCTCTTCATCCTTGTCCCTGGGAAATACTTTCTAAACGGTGTTTTCACTCGGTAACGGGAAAGGAGAGGAACTGAGCTGAAATAGGTTGTGTTTCCTCTCTGCCTAACTGGCAGTGCTCCTTTCTCTACCCAGCAGAATGCTGGAGTGGAGCAGCTATGCCTGTCTACACTGAGAGGAATCCACAGGCTCTAGGGTAGGCATGAGGAAGACAGCTGTAGTATAAGAGCTGAAATAAATACACATGCACAAGTTAAGCAGTTCCTGGAACAACCTTGTGGCATCTGCTGGTGACATACAAGTAGAGATGATGGCCAGAGAGTGGAAGAGAGGAAAACAGTACTGAAGCAAGCATTAGTCTGGGAATAGAGAAATCCTCCACTGCCACCCACAGCTTTCCAGAATCCAAACACTTTAATCTGAAAGATTTAATGGTATCACAAAACCAAGAAAGTATAAGACCATGTAGTATAATTCAGATGATATAGTCCCTCATGCTGTGGAAAATTCATACTGTGGGGGACTGTATGACTCCCTCATATGCCATCTGGGCAACCTGCCTTAGGTGGCCCTACTTGATAGGGGGGTTGGACCAGATGACCTCCAGCAGTTCCTTCCAACCTCAACCATGCTGGGACTGTACAGTGGTTATCAAGCAACCTCCTTTGAGACCTGTGGACATACAAAGGTATAATAATAGCTTGATGGGGGCAAAATGAGACACACACATAGCAGAAGCAAGGGAAGAGAAGTGCATTCAGAATTTCATTTCTATATACACATACTGATATTCTGTCAATAACTCTTAGCTGATGAAATTAGCTCAGGTGATTTGCTCGCTCACTAATTACTGAAAAACTATAACAATCATCAAGACAACGTAAGGTCAAATTCAGTTTTTCTTACAAAAAGAACCTGAGTAATTGACTATATATAGTACACTGTAATGAAGAACAACTAAACAAGAATAGACTTCTAGGGATGAAGCTGGCTCTAGGTCAGCACGAAGTCACAATAACAGGACTGTTAGAGACAACAGATTCTGCAGTAATGCCACTGAATATTCATAATTCAATAGATTTTATTTCACATTTACACATTAGCAAGAGTATATACAATTTAAAAAATCAGTTGGAAATGATCTATCCTAACTTGAGACACTGAGTATTAAAGCTATCGCCCTCCTTGATAGCTACAGCCTCTAAAAGTGCCTGCTTCTTCTGCATACTGCGAGATGACTCCAGTTCATACATAGTTGTCAAGTTGAAGAGAACACTCTCGTGTAGGTAGTGTTTCGGGTCCGTCTGAACCATCCCTTCCAACTGCCGGAGGGAATCCTTCAGTTTTCCCAGATAAAGAAGACAAACAGCAGCATTGTTATTAGCCTAGAGAAAAATATATTGTAAATAAATAAATGTTTCTATATATATATATATGTATGTATATATGTATTTACAAGTGATGAGAGAGAAGGAAAAAAAGAAGTCTAGCCTCCAGAGTTACAACACATTTACTATGTGCTAAGAATTACTATTTTGTGTGTGTGTGTGTGCAAGTAACTAAAACACATTATCAATCATACAACCCAAACCTTTTCTTCTTGTTATTCTCATATTTATCCTGTGCCAGTAGGACCTGCTGACTTCTAAGAGCTGAAACTCTAAAAGACAGTCTAAATGAAAATATAAATAGTGTAGGACATTATTCAGTTAATTTTGAAAGTCAATTGAAACAGATTTCAGAAACTGCATGAGCTTCTGCATGCTGTCATTTTCATAGGGGTTTTTTTAATGACTTCACTGTATCTTCAGAAGTGTTTTTCTCTCTGGCTTACATATACAAGATCCACATAAGCAACAGGAAGAAATTATCACGAAGGCATCTTAAAACTGACTTCAAGTAAATTCAGTAGATAGGGCAGTCTAAATAAATACATCATAAATGGTCAGGTTCCATTTTCTTTTCCACACAAAGGAGGTTTTATGAGATACCAAAAGATTCCAACAGTACAAAGTCATATAACATGTTTAGCAGCAGAAACTTTCACACTTTCTGAAAGCTGCAGATAAAGGCAGAACACAGCCTTTTAAAAAAATTTATTTTTCTCTCTCTTCAGGAAATCTTACTATCTCGTGCAATTTATAATATGTACTATTTTATAGCTGCAAAATGATGCAATTCCTGTGCTTCTTAAATTCAGTCCCCTCAGTCTTTAAATGGCCTCGTCTCAGGCTGCTGGGGGTAAGCTGTCTCGGTTCTTAGGAACACTCTTGTATGACCATGCACTGAAAGCCGCTAAATGCACAAAACCCAAAAGTAAATACACGGCTCTTCTTTGATCTCCTCTTGTGATGGGAATCCAAGGCTCTAATACGCAGTGTGTTATATATGTCATGTTTAAAATTACAATATTCTTTCAATGTTGTGTGAAATCAACTTAATCTTATATAGGCTGGCAGCTGCCATTTCTTTTTCTGACATGCATGTCTACGCTAAAAACAGTGAATGCAAAAAAAAGTGCTTTAGTGAAGATTCTGTAAAACATAATGTTCTGCAATTTCTACACGCACGCCTAAGTATTCACGCCCTTCATATAGACTGGTTCTTAATCTCCCATCCCATTTTGTATCTTATCCCTATATATACTAAAACCTTTGGCACACATGCCACATCCAATTTTTCCATAGAGCTCTGAGCATACTCTGGGTACTAATCAAATCCACACATGAAGCACTGCGAGAATAATTTAGGTGTTCATTATAAATACAGCAATTGGAGATTTACCACAGCATTTGATGAGTCGATCCTTAAAATTTCTGTGAAAAATCGATGAGCTTCTGCAAAATTATTCTGACCAAGGTGAAGAAATGCTCTAGAAAGTAAGTGACATATGAATGAGTGCTTCTCAAAAACCCAAGGTGATAATATATTTTAAAAAGAATAGACACCATTTTTTATTTTTCCTGTTATAGATGTGAGAGTTTCTGACATTTGCTTTTCAGTGTAATTACAACCATCAAGGAGACACTCATTTACAGACAAATGGAATGATAACTTGGATCATTTGGCTATTACATATTCTGCCTACCAAAGCAACAGTCTTCACTGTGTTTTTATTAATTTAAATGCAGATACGCTTTTCCTGGAATTATTTCTCTTCATGAAATTAGCCATGCAATACAATTTTCAGAGCACTTTTGAAGAGTATTTTCCAAATACATTAAGCCCATGTGCTAACCATTACAAACTGAGTCCTTCATCATTGCAGTTTGATTTACTACAATGTATTCCAGCATTCTTTGAAACTACTAGGCAGCAACTTTACTAGCAGACCTGACTGTAGGGTAAGAGCCCAAAACAGCTTCTTCTCTTGTAAGAGTTATTTATGCAAATATATATTGAAAAAGCAGAGTGGAAATATGTAATGCCTGGAAGAATGAGAAATCAACTTTGTAAAATCAGCTGAAGGATGGCCATTTCAAACCAGGATAATATGACTGTACTGAGTTATACAGATCTACTGGGTCTAAATGCCATTCAGTGTCTCACAACAGATGCAGTTACACAAGAGAGAAACAGAACGGGATTGTCTTAAGAGTGGTTTAATTCTCACAATGTATACTTTGCAAAACTGTATTTTAAAGTTTCATTTAGCTATTACATTATCTACCTGTTCATTAAAACCATAACTTGGCTCTGTAGTCCATCCAGTTTGTGAGTCACTTTCTCAACATCTTGAAAATATTTTTCTGCAGTTTTTATGTCTCCAATCTAGACAGTAAAATCATAAGAAGAAAAGGATAAGAACATGAAACATATCAAAGTCCATTATCTAATTGTTTGGCACCAAGCTGAATGGGTAACATCTGCTATCAAACAAGGTATTTGAAGAGCCACATTAAGGTCATGAAAAGAACCCCAAAAGCACGTTCAGTTTTATCTAAGGCAGTGTTTCTCAGCTGTGGGTTGTGGAGCATTCATGGACTGTATGGCCCACCTCCTCATTTGGCTCTTTTGTTGTAACTGACTCCAGAGTTTATAAAATTAGCTGAAAATGAGAACAGGTCAGAATTACTTCCAGTGAGACTGGGTGTTACTCTGCAGGAAGTGAAGACAGACACTGCCCACAGGCAGAAGCTGTCAGTAGGCAGGAGAACTGGAATACAGTAGCCTGGTAGCTAGTGTAGGACCTGTACTCAGTTAACCCACAGCATATGGGTCATAGTCAAGGACCACAGGATGCCTTCAGTGCAGGAGACCAAAACATGTCAGAAAACAAACCCAATTCAATGGGTCACTGATGGTATCAGGGAGACAGTCCATTTGCAGACTGAAAAATACTGGCAAGTGGATTGTACAGGCTGAAGGAATGAGGGATTTGAAAGCTGGCATAAAGGGGAACAGATTTTATGAGAATGTGGGATGGGGAAGGGGACTCCTAGAAAGGAAGGGGTACTTCATCTAATGTTATGTCACACACATTGCTATTTGAGATGGAAAAAAAAAGTCTTCGAAGAAGGCCCCTTCAAGAAGTTAGCAATGTACCTTTCCTAGAAGGATACACTCATATTTTTGGTAAGGTTTCACAATACAGTCATAGAATCATAGAATAGTTTGGGTTAGAAGGGACCTTAAAGATCATCTAGTTCCAACCCCCCTGCCATCAGCAGGGACACCTTCCACTAGACCAGGTTGCTCAAAGCCTCATCCAACCTGCCCTTGAACACTTAATTGCAGGGGGCATCCACAACTTCCTTGGGCAACCTGTTCCAGTGTCTGACCACCCTCACAGTGAAGAACTTCTTCCTAATATCTATTCTAAACCCACCCTCTTCCAGTTTAAACCCATTTCCCCTTGTTCTGTCACTAACTGCCCTTATGAAAAGTCCCTCCCCAGCTTTCCTGTAGGCCCCGCCCCTTCAGGTACTGGAAGGCCACTATAAGATCTCCCTGGAGCCTTCTCTGTCTCCCTGGAGCCTTCCAATTTAGGGCTGGAGACATCAAAGGAGAAGAAAACTATAGCACTGGGTAAAATGAATTTATCAAAAGGAGTAAAACTAAACTAGTTCAGGAGCATAAAGCAATGGAAGTCAGTGAGCCCTCAGGTGGAGAGACTCAGGGGCCCTCAAGAGATCACCTTTGTTCAAGAATAGGACAGACATTACCAAAAATGTTTGTGACAAATGTGTTGAAGTCTCCTAAAAGCGCTCAGATGGTGAATATTACACAGCCTCCCTAGGAAACTTATTCCAGAACTCTTACACACCTGTAGTCTTATAAAATACACTCTAAGTCTATCTTACTGCACTTTTTACCCCAACTTTTTGTGCCATCCATAGTGGTCAGGGAGAATATTACAACCCCTCTTTTTTAACAGCCTTTTATGTACTTGAAAATTTTTATTGCACTTTCTCCTATGTTTCTTCTTCTTGAATGAGAATCAATTTTCAAGCAAATCAGTGTTCACCCCTTTCTCACAGATAGTGCTTTCTGGATTCTCTGATCATTCTTGCTGTTCTCCTCTGAATCCTATCCTGTTACTTCAGATCCTTCCCGAGTGGCCACTAATCTCCAGCTGATCTCTCACCAGCAGCAAGAATGGAAAAATTACTTTATGTTTCACATGTGAATATGAAGTTTGCTGTTACGCCACAGTATTTTGGAAGTCTGATTTGTTTACCCATGTGTAGTTTGCTTACCCTTAGCCTAATTCCTTTCTACAGAACAGTGTCTTGTTAGTTGTTTCCAATTTTGTATTTGTGTATTACTTCCAGTCTTTGGTGGTATTTTGCCTTTGTTGTTTGAATCACAGCCAATTTAACATTTCAGTTTCTCAACTTATCAAAATTATTTTGCATTCTGATCTTGCCCTTCATAGTGCCTGTACCACTCCCAGCCTGGTACATTTTACAAGCATGTTTCTAATTCCATCGCACAAGCATCTAACTGAAAAATAAGAACACTGCAGACCCTAAAGGGATCCTTGTGGAAAAGACCATCTAGCAAGTCCTTCTAGTCTTCCAGTAATCACTTTCCCAGTATGCTTCTCAGAGACAGCAAACATCCCTTTTAAAGTTTCATCTAGGTTTCTTCCCAATTTGCTATGGGAGTATCATAGTGGCGGTATCCGAAGCCCTACTAACGTAAATTGTATGACTGGTGCTGCTTTACCTCTAACCACGAGACCTCGTCTTTGACAACATAAAGAAATAATTATTCTTTACATCCAGGGGATGATCCAATTGCACTCAGAGAAGCAAAGGTCCATCTACCAAAGCATGTATGGAATACTCATTAACACTCTTAACTAATTAAACAGATGTATTTCTCCGAAATGTTACATAACTCTCCTCAAACAAAACAAACATTATTCATTCTAAAAAGTTATACATTCAGTTATAAGGAAAAGATACAATTTCTTTCCATAAATAAAGGTATAAAACACCAAGAAAACAGTTACTTCAAACTAAAGGATAATGTTGGCACAAGTGTATATGAATCGTTCCTTCAATATTTTTAGCCTGGAAATTAGAATCCCTTAACCATGAGAAGAATCCATTTCTAAAGCAAGCTACCAGTTTCCTCCACTGGGAGCTTAATGAGTCCAAATCTAATACGCTTTGAGATTAATTACACCTTATTTGTGATCATCAAGAGTTTGCATCTCTTAGCAGCATCTTGTATCTTCCCAGCAAAGATGCCAAACCTTTAATTTGCATTTTTCCCACTGAGGGGAAACAGATTACTTTTTTTTTCTTTTTTTTTGGCAGAACATTTAAAAGAAAGAATTAGTTTTAATTAGTCATTAAACTGTTAAATATTTAAAGTGGTCTTCATCACTTAATTTTATTCCACTTAGGTCAGAAAACAGGACTTCAGTATCTAATAATAATTAGCACTTTGAATAAAAATGAAAATTCCTCCGTTAACCTCAAATAATCACATCCTCTAACAAGGAGCCTCCAGTATACTATGCACTTAAATTTGTTGTTTGCCTGGAAAACAAGATTACTTTTCTTAAGTACTCCTAGGATTTACTTATTGCTTTTAACTCTGTTTTGCAGCAATCTGTTGCAGAGGGTAAGGTCAGGCAGCTTTCTGCTTTCTAAATTCTTTAATGTATTAATTTCAATGGCAGTTTTGGACAGGTCAGCCAGCAAGCAGAGTCTATTAGCAACACACAGTAATAGCCTAGAGACTAAAAGGTGTTCGCTGTTTCCCCATTTCAGGTGAAGTGCTGTTTTACAGGTCAGGTGATTGCTGATAGAATTATACTGCTTCTGAAAATTTCTCTGCAACAGGCTCTGTCTTTTCCTGCATTCTCCATTTAGAATGGCATCATAGAATCATAGAATGGTTTGGATTGGGAGGGACCTTAAAGATCATCTAGTTCCAACCCCCCTGCCATCAGCAGGGACACCTTCCACTAGACCAGGTTGCTCAAAGCCTCATCCAGCCTGGCCTTAAACACTTTCAGGGAGGGGGCATCCACAACTTCCTTGGGCAACCTGTTCCAGTGTCTGACCACCCTCACAGTGAAAGACTTCTTCTTAATATCTAATCTAAACCTACCCTCTTTCAGCTCAAACTCATTTCCCCTTTTTCTCATTTCTCTCATTCTCATTTCCCACTGATGTGAAGGCAACAGCTAAAGGCTGTACATCAGATCTAGGCCTCTTTATGCCCCACGACATGTGAAGATAAAGATGACATGGTGTCTTAAAACTAGTAAGCTCAAATTAATTTACCTATAAGGGATTTACTTTTTTCAAAGAGCGCCTCGTCAATAGCGCACACATACCACAACACAATGGTTTTACCAAAATGATGGTGCAACATATTTATCTTTTTAAAATTTGAATTTCTTGATTTTGATTACCTGCACACTTATTATTTCTCGTAATACATCAAAATCTTGCATCTATTGCAACAGTACCCTACAGACAGAGCTGACGATTTTGTAACAAAAAAAGACAAAGTGCCAAACAATAAAAATCTCCTTCAGGTGCGAGAAGAAAGGAAAACATTTGAACTTAGAGGTGATGCTTTTTATTAACTACTGTCTAGGATCGCATGATATATATCAAGGGCTCCTCATACTCCCTTTTGCTGTGTCCAGTTCTGACAGTAAATCCACTGAATACTAAAGGCCTGTTGTCACATCGCAGAGGTCAGTGACTTCAAATGACTCTATGTGGAGCCCGTGAACTTCACTTTTGAAATTGGGTGGACACAATTCCAAAGTTAGGAGATACTTTCCTCTTGAGAGTGAAAATTTTTCTACAGCAAATCGAGCTACTAACAAGAACTGGAGAGTGTGACACTTGGGCAGATGCTCTTGTCAGCGAGGCAGCACCAGTAACGTACCCAGCTGTTTTCCCAGTAAGACCAGAACTATTAATAACTTGTATTTCCAATAGTATTCCCCATATTTACAGTACCATTCTTTAATATGCATAATTATCAAGTTCTTATTTAGGTAATAATTAATGCACACAGCCAGTATCATAAAATTGCTCTATAGTGACGGAGATCTACTTTAAATCAGAGACTTTC